GAAAGTACTCAGTATCTTTTAAGGACTCATTTAGCTCTAGGTTTATGCTTTATAGGAAGTTGTTTTAAGTTAATCTTAGATTGATAAATTTCTTCAGCAAATATTGCCCAGAAAGCTATAGACTCTGAATCAGTTTTATATATGTGTATAATTGTGTGCTATGGGAGAGTATTAGAAATGGATTATATTAATGCTGGAATTCTTACTAGTCCTAGCAATGGAAGTTCTCATTTTGAGATTTCCATCTAGATTTTCTACCATATCAACGGTTGTCATAGTAGCAGTCTCAATTGAGAATTGTGATTATATACTTTATCAAATGACTACTTGATGAAAGCTCAATTATTCTAATGTAGTTCAGCCAGAATTCTGAGCCATCATTTTGCTTGGTTAAGGGAATAATTAACAAACCTAAAGAAGAAATTCCTTTCTTTCTTTTGAATTACATAAATTTTTCCTTATTTCACTGACTGTCAAGTGCCATTAGTTATAAGATATGCCATTGTTTTATGTACACTAAGGGAAAAAATCCTAATAGTTATATTCAGTTGATGCCATCAATTATAAGCTAAAACCTAATTTCAGAGATGCTAAAATGTATGTGTGTTTGTGGGGAAGTATATAATCAATAGAATATGGCACATATATTTACACATAGCACTTTAGTTGTGTAAAGGTCATAATCATAATATTAAATATAAAGGAAACTTTTTAAATTATTATTTCTGCCAAATATTATATAGTTTCTTTAATCCTTGAAAACCAGAATCAGAAAAGAAATCACATATTTGAGGAAATCTATAAGATCATCTATATTATCTAACAATTTCTGGTTGACTACTTTTTTACCGAAGTATCTTAAACTCTTAAAGAACTTTTATTCTTTTAAGTAGCAATCTTTAGAGTCTCTCATGATAAACTTTAAATATTCCTTTTCAAGATCATTTCACTTAACATATAAAAGAGAATAATTTGGAATTTAGATGAGTTGTTTAGTATTCCAAACAAGATGCAACCTGAGACACAGTATGTTTAAGAGCTGTAATCATGAAATATCTTGTTAAGTGGCATATAGAATTCTAAAAAGAATCATTGTTCCTGCCTCTTGAGAATTGTCCCATTCTAACTTTAGGCATTTTTCTCCCTAAATTTAAAAAGTACAGTTCAGGATTAACTGGAGGTCTGTGTTGTGATAAGAAGATGAATTGGTAAAACTGAACCATGAGCCTCATCCTTGTAGACAGCTCTGGGTAGGTATGCCATGCTCAAAGGCTTATATTAGTTATTACTCTTGGCGTTATAGTTCGTACTGGCTCATTGTTGAGAGAGGCCAAATTGAGTTGCTAGCATAGACATTATAGAGTGGCTGGCTAGACAGACTGCTTGAAGCTTCGGGCTTTGTCAGAAGGTAGGTACACCAGGACATCATTGTGGTTTGAAGTCCACAGTGGCCTAGAATGTGGGTTCCAAGTCCAGCTTTAAAAATAATGCTACAGGATTCAGACATTGAGTGTGGACCTGATCAAAACATAAAACAATGCATCTTGATTATTGACCCTCATTTGCAAAATCAGAGCAAGATTTATAGCCACTCAGGACCCTTGTGGCTTACAGATGGGGCAAGAGGTAGGCTTGGAGAGAGAGGTCTTGAGCTATGCAGCCTGGAAGAGTACAAGGATAGGGAGCCATATTTATTTGGGGTTTTGTGTTTTTTGTTGGTTGCATCACAAGTAATGTTAATAGAGATTACCTTTGTAGTGTTTTCCACCTTTATCAAAGTGCTTTTACAAACATATAATTTTGCATTTACTGTAAACATGAGAGGGGTGAGCTGGATATAATTACCCATTTGGCAGGTGGGACTCACAGATCCTAAGTTACTAGCCTTAAGGTCATTTGGCTCTTACTTTTTTTCACTATATATGCTGCCAATGCTTGATATTTATTTCCAAATTTAGCAAGCATATAGTTTGTTTTCCAGCAGCTGATACTATCTTTATGAACTGCCAATATTTTGTCACTTATGTTCTTACCTCCCAAATCAACAAGTATAACTAACTTTTGCTTAGTATTGAAAGGAAAAATAAGGAAAACAAAATACTATTTCATTTTGATTTATCAGATAAAACTACTTTGTTATGTGCAATGAATCGTTTTTTAAAGTGATATTTTTTTTATTCTGCTTTGCCCTGTTTAAACCTCAGCTAACCTCACTGCTGTTGCTTTTTAGGTGTCTTATAGTAAACCATGTACAAGTCCAGACAGAGTCCAGAGTTAGAGCAAGTTAAACAAGAGTTGCCAGTATTGTGAGTTGTGGATGTAGAACTTGATGTTAACTGTGAATGATTGGTTTTCTAACTTTCATTTTATGTAGAGAGCCTCTTCTGTTTTTCACTAGGCTTCCTCCTGGCTCTTCCTTCCTGTTACATTCTTTCCTGTTTCTTTCCAGAAAGTGTCTCAGCATTCTTTCCTGTAGTGTGCTCCTGTAGGGCTGTGAATGGTACATGTTCATGATTTTCATCTCTGAACTCTGCACATGTATTTTTCTTATACAGTAGATTAGAAATACAAACAGAACATTGTGTAAGGATATGGACTGATTACTGTGAGTGAAAATCTGAGTGGAATAAACAGAACGTGGCATGCAGTTCTGCCTTCTAGTCCAGGTGTTGCCCCACTACTTAATTGTGGACTTTTCACCAATCTTTACAAACTTCTGATATCCCCTTGCATTATCTGTGAGCCAACAGCTGTGTTACATGATTTCTAGAATCCCTTTCAATTCCAAATCTCATTCATGTCCCCAATCTGTATATGTAAAATTGTACTAAAGGTAGGACAGCTTGCAAACCTTCTTTTGGACCTTAAATTCTATTGGTAATTTTGTCATTATTGAGAATTGAATGAAATTGATCATGGTGATTTAACTTTGAGGTGCTTGTAAGCTGAACTGAAACCTCACTATTATTAACTTACAAGTTTTGAGCTTGGTTCCTAATCTTTCCTATTGTATGCACAACATGCAATAATAATCAGCATGGTATGTTTTGAGAATGCTTTCATTAAAGATTGGTGGGTTTCTTGATCAGATATTTACTTCATTAAGGCAGATTCACTGTGTCTCAGAGCAGCTATAAAATCCAGGAAGTGTAAGTGTAAGAACAAGTGATGGAATGCTAGTTGGAAAGACATGTTAGAGTTAAAATTTGACAGTAGGTCTTAGGCTGTTATCCTTTACTATCCTTCAACCCAGTATGTGATAGGTTTGGGTTATAGACTGAATAGATGGGATTTTCAACTGTTTATATTTAATCAAGGGAGAATATGTCATAAAATTGTATATTTAAATCAATACTAGAGTTTTCACGAGATTTTATTGTTTTAGGTGCCATGGATTACTCAAAAGGATAGATGAAAGCTATCATCACTCTTTCCAGAAAAATAAATGCACATTGCCAATTTTACCTGCAGGTTGAAAGGTTTCATGGATACCCCATTGTGGATGGAGCCTTACTTTTCCATCTGGTATTCTTGGTCCAAATTCTTGATAGAAAAAAACTCTGGTTGGTAAACTCTTTGGTGATGCCCCTCAAAATACTCTAGATCAATGTTTATTAAACTGTGATCATGAGAACAATTGAATGGGTCAAGATTAAAACAAAACAAAACAAAGGAATAAAGTAGAAAATATCAGAGTAAATTTTGTTTTGTTCATTCTTTTGACTTGTATGCATCTATGTGTTTGTGTTTATACTGTCAGAAGATAAAATGTACTTCTTACTATGGATTGAGTATAAAGTTGGAGAAACTCATCTATTAGATGAGAAACACTCTTTTATTGTAAATGAACCTCTTCACTTTATAACTGGAAACTGAGGCCCTTAAAGGCTGAATGATTTGTTTAAATCCCTGCTGTCCCTATGTTACTTCAAGTGGTCCAGCTAGGATTGAACCATATTACTTTGTTACTAATTTTACCCTGCTGCATTGCTAATTTTTTGAAACAGAATTGTGAAGTAGATTATTTTAAAAAGATAGTTCATCTGCTTCACACTTGGCATTTTTGAATCCTTTGTTTTTTCCCACTAAAATAAATTCTGTCATTATCCTTTAAAATAATCTGATCTTAAGCTTCTTTTCCATAGGATTAGCAGATATCCTAAGCCCTCTCAATTGGCTGTCTGCACCCCTATTCCTAAAATGTTGACATTTAACCAGAAGGACTTTCAGAACAAGATATGAAGGGCTAATTTTTATTTCAAAATCAAATTAAAATGGTTTGAGTTGTTTTGTTCATTCACTTGAGAGCTGAAATGTTGGTGTGGGATCTTTGGGAAGGCACTATAATGTCTTTAGTTTCTCTGTGAGTTTTTTCCTCAAACTTGAATTCCATACCATTTATAAATGTGAAGGGTCTTGTTAAAATGCAGATTCTGATACAGAATCTGGCTGAGATTGTGGGTTTCAGTAAACACTCCTGAGAGATGCTACTTTGGATCTTGGGACTACACTTTTAGTAGCAAGAACTTGTATTACCCGACTTATTACTGTGGCAAGAAAAGATAGCTGTCTGATCATTTTTCTGTTGTCTTGATTTTATTTCTTTTAAATATTTATTTTTTAGTTATAGGTGGACACAGTACCTTTATTTTATTTTTATGTGGTGCTGAGGATCAAACCCAGTGCCTCACGCATGCTAGCCACAACCCCAGCTCCTGTTGTCTTGATTTTAAACAGCCGTTCTCATCTGTCCCAACATTCACCTGGGTGAAAATTGATAATACCCCTCCTGGCAGCACTTTTCTAGGTGATTCGGACTTAGCACTACTTCATTTAACTGGCATTTTCAAGCCTTTCTACAAAATTTAATTTTCCACATAACTAGAATATTTAATTTCAGAAAGATCATTTTCTAAATGTTATAGGATTTTCTTTCTTAAAAGTATTTGCATGTACTCTTTTTTTTCTTCAACTTAGTGTTGCAAAAGCCATATTTTTTTTAGAGGCTCTCTTTGTGGTGAATATTGAGCTATATGCAAAATGAATAAGAACTACAAAGCCTTCCATGTTGCTGTTGTATGTTTTTCTGTTTTGTCTCATTCATCTGCCAGTTAATGATGTCTCCTCAAAGTGGCTGGTGTCTCTTTCCATCCTGATTACTTCTGACCTGAAAAGCCAGACACTAGATTTGTGAGATGAATTTCTGTCAGAAGGGCCTTCCCAGGGTGGGGCCTTGCTGAGGAGGGATATGATCCAAGTTCAGTAGCAGTGGAGAATTGAAATCCTTTAGTTTTTAACCATATTCTGAGTAGATACCTGAATTGGAGCCTACTTGTTTCTTCATGCCTTTTTCCAGGTGCTTTTTTAAACTCCTTGTTCATTAAAATGCATTTGAAGGTCATTTGTATGTATAGATGTATGATATATTAGCCCTGTGATTGATAATACAATAATTGCAATAAATTAGCAGCACTCAGGGTCCATATAAAATTGGGATGGGTAACCTTATGCTAAAGATTGTGGCTCTCTTTACACAGTTGTATTCTGCAGTGTCTTTGAAATAGTTTTTAGAATAATAATAATGACAGAAAGGAGGATATTGTTTGGTTTAATTTAGTATTCTGGGAGTTTAAAAAATTGTTGGAATTATCTTTATTAGATTACTAATTATAATATTAACACTAATAGTTCTCGTATGCTAAGCTCTCATTTTGTTAGTCATTACTTACATAAAATGCAACAATCAGGGCTGTGGTTGAGGAGGGTACATTAGATTGTGGGGGGCAGCAAGTGGCTGACGTGCTTCCCACAAAGAGAATAATCCAAATAGATAGGGGTGAGATTAAATATCTTCATTAGTCCCTCTTTACAAATAAATATGCATATGAAGACTCTACAGCAGGTGTTTCTGGTTTTGTTTTTTACTAGAAATTGTTGGAGGATTCATATTTTTGAAAACCATACAGTAGTTTATATTCTGATCCAAAGCAGAGAGAACCTGTTTGCATTTTAACTAGGTAGCATCAGACATTTATCATCTTAAATAGCCTTACTATTGGCTCTGTGTTAGAAATTGTAGATTATATTCTTTAAAATTATAACAAGATTAAATGTGAAAATAACAGTTAAGTTGGAATTTTGAGATCCAGAACAGAGCACCATCTGACATATTTTTAGTGAATTACAGCCTTTAAACACTGATTACCAGATTTATCTCATTTGAATGTTATTTTTATATCTAGAATTTGTCTTAGGCTTCAGTGCAGCTCAGCCTACTGGTATAATCTTATCTTAATTAATAATGTTTTGTGACCTGGGAGTCCTGTTAAAGACCATTAGACAGGAGCTAGAGAACACTGGAAGGTAAAATGAACACATGGCCTTAGTTCTCTTCTTTTATACTGGAATATAACTTGCATTTAAAGACACTGAAAAATGAAAAGGAAAAACAACCTCCTTCCTCTTTCAGATGTAATAAATATGTTTAATATGGTTTTGCTATTGTTAATCCTTTTAAACTTACAGACTATAGAGGATTTTGTCTAAAATATTTGAAACTAAATGCTGCTGTAAAAAATATTTTTACTAGAAATCTAGAAATAGCTGTCTGTCCTATGCTTTGTTAATTTGATCTGCTTGTTTAGCTGAAAAAATAAAAATGTATATTCTAACTAAAGAGAAATTTGTGGGCATAAACTCCTTTCTTCCTATGTTCAAATATATTTCATACATTGTTTATCTTATTTAAATATACAGTAGACAGAGAATACAACTGCTGTTCCTTTAATATCAGAACTATGCACGTTACAATAGGTGTCACTGTTTTGCTTGGTCCAATCATGATTGGTGACTTCAGCTATTGGCTCCGAGCACTGGCTGTCTGACTCCATCTGCAGGGCTGTAATACCTACTCTCCTCCGATCCATTCACCACACAACTTCAGCTGGCTGAACAGACTCACTCGGCTCCAGCACATCTTGCTAACCTAATTCAGAAAACAAGTGCTACAGCTCTGTGCCTGTCGTCTTCGCTCAGTGTAGCATTTTCAGGTGATCTAGGAAACGGTTGTTTTTATGAGCAAGTAAGAGAAACAGGAATCATGATGGGGATGTATTTAACAGACCCAGTACTGGATAAAACTTAAAGCCAGTTTCTATTCAACATAGTGAAAAGGTCACCTTGCCTGGCTGAGAAAAGAAGCAAAATATCAGCTTGTTGGTTTCTGTTAACATCTTGGCTCCGGCCAGCCTGTTTTCCTTGATCTTTGAACCAGTTTGGGATATCTAGCTGTAAAGAGAAACATACTGTACTCATGGTAGATGACAAGGAAAAGAACATGAAATGTCTCACCTTCTTCTTGATGCTTCCAGAGACGGTAAAGAACAGGTCCAAGAAAAGCTCAAAGAAAGCAAATAACAGCAGCGGCACTAGCAGTAGCAGCAGCAAGTTGCCCCCAGTTTGTTATGAAATAATTACCTTGAAGACTAAAAAAAAGAAGAAGATGGCTGCTGATATATTTCCCCGGAAAAAACCAGCCAACTCCAGCAGCACCACTGTCCAGCAGTACCACCAGCAGAATCTCAGCAACAACAACCTGATCCCGGCCCCCAACTGGCAGGGTCTCTATCCCACCATTAGAGAAAGGTAAGTACTGAGCCAGCACATGTACTTTAAAAGTTTTCCTGTGTTGAAGTTTGTGCTTTTGAACAACCTGTAATGTATTTTAACACAAATCTGTGTTTCCTCTTTTCCCAGAAGCTTTATTGGTAATGGAAAACTGCCTTGTATCTTTTCCAAAACAGTACAGCTGTTTTCCTCTTAGACAAAAATGTTTTTGCAAGCTGTAATATTTAAGTGACATGGTTATATTCTATAGGCCATGAAAAATAGAAACCTTTAATTTGTCCTTAGCCTTGTGAAAAGTTTGTATAACTTAAAAAAAAAACTTTTGCGACTTCCTGTGTGTTTGCAATAACTACAAACACAATTGTTTAGATTCAATCTTTATTTTTTAAATTTTGCTATGAAGTTACTAAACTGTTGCTTAGCTTGTGAGTCTTTTATGGGTTTTTATGTTGGAGAAAGGGATTAAGAATGCTGGCTGCTGTGAATTAATGAATTGCCTCTGTTTATAGAAATGCGGTGATGTTCAATAATGATTTGATGGCAGATGTACATTTTGTGGTTGGGCCACCAGGTGGGACTCAGCGGTTGCCAGGACACAAAGTAAGCAACAGCTGCATTACCGGTTTTGTCCTGAGATTTACAAAAAGGGACCCTCTCAGTCAGCCTGGAACTTGGTGTGGGCAGCTTGCCGATGGCAGGCAGTGCATGTTTCCCCCAGTTACAGAGAAAGCATACCCTATCCAAAGGGCTTTGACCACGCTGAATTTTTTCATTGTTTCCTACTATACTGCTTTATATCTCTCACAGAAACATACCCTCTTAACTCTCCAGCCCTGGGAAGTTGTTGTGACAGGTTAGGAAAGTCATGTATTGACCCCTTTCCTAGAAATAGTGAGATAAGCTTTTATTGTATTTATGTTGCAATGAGGGGACCCCTGCGTTAATCTCTGAAAGCTTTGAAATAATTAGCATAGAAGCTATGTTGTATGAACATCTTATATTTCCCTGCCAAATACCCTGTATCTTGTTTTTTTCAAAGGAACAGGTTTAGGTACTCTATGCCCACTAAACCTGATTGCTTAGAGTTGTTTTTCTGGATTGATTTGCTGAAAACACTTTCAATTTAGTGCATGAAATAAGATTTCCCTTTCTCCACAGTATGTCTTAGCTGTTGGGAGCTCTGTGTTCCATGCGATGTTTTACGGAGAACTTGCCGAGGACAAAGATGAAATCCGTATACCAGATGTCGAACCTGCTGCTTTTCTCGCCATGCTGAAGTAAGCATTATTTCTATGTTTGGAAAGAGTTTGTTTATGCTATATTTGTACCCTGCTGGCTTCAAAGTTAAATGTAAGTTCTGCATAACAAAAAAAGGAGACTCTGATGAAGAAAGGGGGTGCTGCTTATCCTGTACATGTTTTTGGAGAAAACTGCTGTTCATCTTTAATTGGAAAGCATGTGGAATGATGCAAGCATTTATCCACACCTTGGCACAGGATGTGGGGGCAAGTGGCATGTATAGCAATTTGGTTCTTAATGGCTTGTAATTAAAGAAAAATAACTTTCAGGTGTAGGCATTGTTTAATAGCACATGTTCTATCTGAAATCAGTATGTGTGAAGAAGTCTTCAAAGAAATACATTTTTATTTCACAATTCCAGAAATTATATACCTTATTTAAACACTACAATTTGGAAGACTTCTACGTTTTCTGAGTTGTTATCTTCTAACAGCAAATGTAGAATTCGCTGTCTGTTGACTTAGTCCGATCTTTTTGCACAAATACGGTACACTTACTCTTCTATAAAATTGGACACTTTCTCCAGAATAAGAAGCATTTGCATTTGATATTAGAGGAGAAATTTTTGGAAGTTATAAATCGTTTTCTATGATTTCATGTAGATGTATACAGAAAAACTTCAATTGGTAATCTAGAAATACAAAAGTATATGTAATATTAATTGACATTAGCTTTATATCTAGTGGGTCTTTTGTAGCTTCCAGTATATGTCAAGCAGATACACGAATCATCTTCTGCACTGTGTACCAGTGCTAGACAATGTGTGATAATCTACCCTGTTATTAAAATTTAGTGTTATTCTAAATATTATTTATATGCTTTCTCTTAATCTGCATTCATTTCTAGGACACTAAAGATTGAGTTCAAGGTCATCTGCTGCTCTAGGGATTTCATTTCACTGAAATAAATAAAATTATTGTTCAAAAAAATCATTCAGTGGGTCAACAAGTTGGACAATGTTCCCATTAATGGTTAAAATGTTGCTATGTATTATTACTGCCTGCTGAAAAATTATAGTTCTAGAGCTTAAACGTATTTTTTATTCATATTAAAATTCTGAAATCTAATTGCTGTTGACTAGGACTTTCACAGTGGAATATAGGGAAATGAAAGGCAAGTAAGCATGTGAAGCACCAAAACCTAAACTAATCCACCAATTTTAATCTTTGTGGTCTTTTAGAGAAATATGTGCAGAAATCAGTTTTACCTCTAAGGGTCCTCTCACCCACCCTCCATCAGAGGAAGTCAACTCAGTGTCTTTGACAGTATTTTCTCTTGCAGAGCAGGATGCAGCAATACTTCAGCATTTTGGGCTTCACTACAGCCAAGTAGTTTGTTGAGTTGTTCTAGACATATGCATAATTAGGAAGCAGCAAGATGGCCAAGAGCTTCATCTCACCTAACTCATTTGATTCAGCATTGGTCAAGTGTCTTTTCTCATAGTTGTATACCTAGACCATGTATTAATACAGCTTTTTAAAGTTGTACACACAGTCCACATAAAGTGGTAGGAGTCAGAGATGCTGTAAGATGCCTCTGGCTGCCATGCCATAGTTGTGATACTGATGACCAGGTTTCCTTCCTTGTACATTGTGGGTGAGAAGCCAGTATTCCAGGAGAAGAGATTGTCAAGGGGATGACTGTGCCCTTGACAATTACAGGGTAAGAGTTACAAACCTACTCACCATGTTCCAGGATCCTTCCCAAAGTCCTGGCTCTTGGTCAAAGCAGAACTGAGCTGCAAGTGTATTGTCAAATGGCATCTGGCTTAGACTATCAGAGAGGAGAAGGGCTTCCTAGGAGCAAAAGGGCAGGTTTCATTTGTGATCCTGGACATTTTTCTTTTTGCATACTTGAATTTCTCTACTTTTTCACAGAAGGTATTGCTGATTTTTTGAGTTACGTGTCTTTTACTAAGATGAAATAAAATAAATACAGGAAGACTTCAGATAAAGTACCTAGCACTTTAGCTAGAAAAAGTTAAAGGTAAATGTTATTATTTCTATTTTTTTATGTTAACCATAACCATCTACCAGAAGCAGATAATTTCTACTTTCACATTCCATTTTGAAAAACTATCACTATCCTCTAAAATACCACAAAGTGTGGTTTATTGACATAGAAACTCTACATTTAGGTTTTCCCATTTTGTCTTTTAATTAATACATATGGAAAAAAATGTATTCTTTAATTCTGAAGGTGAAAAGAATATATGTGGGAGGAATTTAGAAGTTTTGAATTAAACAAATGAACTGGCACAGAGCCTGCTGTGTTCTAAGTAACCTGGAGGGTAGAATTGAAGTCCATATTTGATTATTTGTGAACTTGGATCTATTTGAAAAATATTTAGTATCAGTTTTTTTTTTTTTTTCTTTAGGAGAAATCCAAAAGCATCAAGATAGGGTTAATGCTGAAATTATAGTAGTAAAGGCATTTTGTTTTTATCTAATTATAACATATGTAATACAATTTTGCTATTTTTTCTGATGTCAAGTTTGAATAGTTACAGTATCTTCTATTTTTGTTGAGAAGACACTATATATAGCATGTGAAACTTAGGCCAGAATGGTAATACTAAGTTAATGCCTTTCATGATACAAACTTACTACTGAGCTGAGATAGTAATAACTTATAAATATATTCAGATATTTCTTTAAGCATGTTTATAATAAGTGTCACATAAGATGATGTTCTTAGAACAAATGTGAAAATAGTTGCTTCTCTACTTGCTGAGCATGCTCATTTTGTGAAAATTCCATTTATATATTGTATGTTTTTTTTCAGATATATCTATTGTGATGAAATTGACTTGGCTGCTGACACAGTGTTGGCTACACTGTATGCTGCCAAAAAGTACATTGTCCCTCACCTTGCCAGAGCCTGTGTTAATTTCCTGGAGACAAGCCTGAGCGCCAAGAATGCCTGTGTGCTCCTCTCTCAGAGCTGTCTGTTCGAGGAGCCTGATCTGACCCAGCGTTGCTGGGAGGTAATCGATGCCCAGGCTGAGTTAGCTCTCAAGTCTGAGGGATTCTGTGATATCGACTTCCAGACACTAGAAAGTATCCTCCGCAGGGAAACTCTGAATGCCAAAGAAATCGTGGTTTTTGAGGCAGCTCTCAACTGGGCTGAAGTAGAATGCCAGCGACAAGATCTAGCCTTGAGCATTGAAAATAAACGTAAGGTCCTAGGAAAGGCACTGTACTTGATCCGCATACCCACAATGGCCCTTGATGACTTTGCAAATGGTGCTGCCCAGTCCGGAGTATTAACTCTCAATGAGACCAATGACATCTTCCTCTGGTACACTGCGGCCAAAAAGCCAGAGTTGCAGTTTGTGAGTAAAGCCCGCAAGGGCCTTGTCCCCCAGCGCTGTCACCGTTTCCAGTCTTGTGCCTATAGGAGCAACCAGTGGCGCTATCGGGGTCGCTGTGACAGCATCCAGTTTGCTGTTGATAAAAGAGTATTTATTGCAGGCTTTGGGCTGTATGGCTCCAGCTGTGGTTCTGCAGAATACAGTGCCAAGATTGAACTCAAGCGGCAGGGTGTTGTCCTGGGGCAGAACTTGAGCAAGTACTTCTCAGATGGATCCAGCAATACCTTCCCTGTGTGGTTTGAGTATCCTGTGCAGATCGAGCCGGACACCTTCTACACAGCCAGTGTGATACTGGATGGCAATGAACTCAGCTACTTTGGACAAGAAGGCATGACGGAAGTTCAGTGTGGCAAAGTGACTGTCCAGTTTCAATGCTCCTCAGATAGCACAAATGGCACTGGGGTACAGGGAGGGCAGATCCCTGAACTTATATTCTATGCTTAAAGCTTCACTTCCCCAAGCAGTGTGAGCTCGGGTGCACATCTGGCCCCTCCTTGCTTGATGCTTAGCTCATCTGCAGATATGTGATCAGTGCAGGTAATTTGTTATGAATGAAGCGGTAGGCAGTTTCTAATTTCTTTTACCCTTTTTAATTATGTACAGGCTAAAATGCAGCATTCCGCTTTTAACTATATGCTTAAAAGAGCCAAGTTCTTACTAAGGCTTTGTGGTTTTCAGAGTTGCGTCTATACACCTGGGGAGATTATGCTCTCTGAGATGCCCCACCGACCTCCCAGTTTCATGTCTCTAAAGAAAATTTTGGATCACCTCAAATTTCCTTTTGGATTTTATTTGATGAATGGAAATAGTCTAAAATAATAACAATCAAGAGTTATTTTTAAACAAAGCCCACCCCCCAAAAAAACCAGATAAACCTCAGTGTATAATTTTGAGAGAAATTTTACTTTATAATAAGTAATAATTTAGAATGTAGAAAGTATTCATGTTTGGCTCTTACATTTTTTTCTTTTAAAGTTGTTGCTTCTCGCTTTGCTTTTTTAATCCTAAACCAATAAGATTATTATACATTAACTCAAAATGGCAGTGTAAAATAAGAAACTAAGGAATTAAGTCTTGTTTTATAGGCAAAGGAGACTTATATTCTTTTAAGAAGACAAGGTAACACAATATGAACACTTCTTTTGGAAGTAATGAAATTATAAAAGTTTATTGTCAATAGAAAAAAAATTGCAGGCCTGCTAATTTACAGTAAAAGTTTTAAAAGAGAACCTAAAAAATCCCATACTGCAAATAGTTTAATTGATAATGTGTTTGAAAAAGGTACTCTTTTCTTGCCACATAGCTTTGGGTCCCTATCATTTGCTTGTTTTTATAAATCGTACTGTATAGAATTCCTGATCCCTTTTCCCCCATTTAAAAGAGGACCAAACATTTGTTTAGAGGAATGGAGTAACAACTGATTTTGTAGCACTACATTGTTAATGTCATAAAATACTTTTATTTGTTGTTGGTTTTTTTTAATCTGAAATATACTTTATCTAATCTTTGACCATATGCTATTTTATTTGTTGATTATAGTTCTGTTCTCATTCTGGACTGCTAGAATCTGGCCTCTGGCCACCTTAAAGTGCCAATATATGCCTGCAGGGTTTTCAAAAATTGGTTGGAGTAACAGAGTTTGTTGTCCCTGAATTCACTGCATCAGCAGCACATCTGGCTCTCTTATTTGTCTATGGCTAATGTAAGCAAAGGAGGAAAAGCTCATTAAAAAATTCTCCTTCAGTGATGGCTTTTGTTGGTTTGGTACCTGTGACCCTAGCAGTGCCCAGTGTGATCACTGCCAGTTGAAGAATCCATGTGTTTTTGGGCAGCTTTTCTGCTCAGTGTGATCCTGAGATGGCTTCTCCGCCACCTAGAGTGTGGTCCCTTGGCCGCCTCCTTCTCCTGCTCTGCAAGCCTGAAACTGGCTTGTCTGGGGCCAGGAGTTAGTCCTGGGGTGTGTGTGTGCTTGTGAGCCCATGTGCCCATGCGCATGCAAGTGCGATTGCCGACTCAGGAATTCCCTCCTCCCTGCCTGGTTAGTGAGAGGTGGGACACAATGGTCCCCCTGCTGTCCCCAGCCAGGCCCAATGAGTGACTGCCCTTGCTTATTCACTGTGCTTCTGGGCTGCTTTTTTTCTCTGTAGATGTGGGCCTGTCGCCTTTGGCGAGTGTCCCTGATGGAGGAGAACACTGGATTATGGGAACTGTTTTAATCACTTTTGCCATTTACCTACGTCTGTTAGCATAGCTGACTGAAAGTTGTTACTGGTGACTATAGATGAATACTGCCAGAACAGCTTTCTAGAATTATCTAACAGTTATTTCTTATTATGGACATGACAGGTTGTAGTTTTGGCAAAACATTAATGAAATAAAGATAAATTTTCACTTAAAAATACTTGTGCAAAAGATTCTATTCTAAAATTATGGTTAAACATTTCAGTAACTCATAACTATCATGCAAAATGGTAAAACTGGTTAGAAGGCACTTGACGTGAAGCCAGAGGAGAAGAAATGTTACTCGGCACTAATTTCATAGTTGAGAGGGTGAGTGTGATGGACTGCCTGAGAGTGGGGTCATTCCTTCACTGCTCTGTCAGCACTCCTGTTACGTGAGTTGCCCTCTGCACAGCTAGGCTGCCGAAAGCCACATGAAATCCTGTAAGCTGGGTATAGAAGAACTTAATTTTCTGTCAATTAAGAGAAGAAAAATAAAAAGGAAAAAAAAAAAAAACCAAAACACTTTCACCATCTGATTGGCCTGTGGATAAAATTTGAAAATTGTATTTAGAATAAAAAATTATATATTTTAGACCAAGTCTCCTTTCTGCATTTCAACAAAATGGAATGAAAGCTAATGTGCTTGCTTTGTTTTCTTTGGTAATTTTGAATTTTGTAGCTTTTAAAATTAGAAACCATTGTTCTGACAAGACAGGCAACTCTAGTGTATAAACACAACTTTATTAAACAGAGTACGCTGTAGATGCTTTTCCCAATGTATCTGGCAGTCTTTGTCATTGTTCATACTGGGGATAAAGGGTAACTAGGCTAGCAGTTCTAATGTAACATTCTTTAAGCATATCTTAAAATAGTATTTAAGTAAATGGTCTAATTTCTACATAATTATTGCACTGAACTGTCTTTTTTGTTTTTTTTTTTTAAGGTGTTTAATAAGCTCAGCTAACTCAAGACACTGTAGCAACTTATGCATCAGTGCTTGACTTTAGCAGCTTACAACATTATTTATGAAGGAAAAATATATAAATATGAAGTACCTCATGTTGAATGTTATTGTACTGTATTTTTAATGTAACAGTGCAGATCTTGTTAGACACATGAATGTGTATACTCATGTTAAATGCAAATAAAATAAAACTGGTTCATAAATTTGTTTTCTTAGCATTTTGTCACTTCCTTGAAATAGTAAAAGTTTCATTCTGGCACTTTTTGGTGCCACTATATTTTACAGAAATTATTTTGTAGGAGCATTTATTTGCTAAGTATTCAGATATCTTTGATCCCTAAGGAAGTAAAAATTTTGAGGCAAAAGCATAGGAGAACAATGGATATGTTAATCAATTGCATTGTTCAAAGCCTGACTGTTAAGTTAATGAGAGGGAGTGAATGGATGCATTTATATTCCTGTTATGGAATTTGTGGTTGGCTGGCATTCTGAAGCTATAGTTGATCAAATGTCTGGATCTCCCTGTACTAACCAGGGTATTGTACTCGATGGCATCTGGCTTCCGATGTGATCCAGTGCTGCTGCTTCTCTCAGTGTGAAATAGCTTAAGTCTAGGAATTTAAAAAAAAAAAAAAAAAGATAAAGTGACATACAAGAAATTTGAATATAGTTATATACTCAATTAGTTTTTCATTCTGTTCACACACACACACACACACACACACACACACAACACACCCATATTCATTCGTAATTGTCTACATACACATTGTTTTTCTCTGCCACTTTCTGATGCTTTTCTGATAGAATTTATTGTGAAATCCCTATATAGTTAACCACTTCATCTTCTTGGGTTTCAATTTCTACAGCATACACTTACTCAAAAGATTTTTTGGAATTATTCCAAAGAAGAAAGGAATTCCCCATTCTCATCAGCTTAATCACAATTACAACCTGAATTGCAAAGATCTTTAATCCAGAAAAGTCTTAGCCATTATCTTTTTTCTGTTGCTGTTTAAACTTAATCCATATGTTTGTTTTTATTATCCCAAGACAGTTGGGAATGATCCTCCTCCATTGTTGGGGCTCAAGATCAACAAGTCAGCTGAAATTATACTTTCTTCCCAGTTGACTGTTTGACTTGTCTGGGAAAATCAGGAACTTAACACTTGGGAGAAAACAGAGAAGGTGGAAAGTATTTCTGAGGAACTAAATGGTATAGAATTTAGGAGCCAAAGCAAGCAGGTGGTCCTGAAAAATCTGTCAGAGCAAGGTTTTGAGTCCTTTGAGGTGCTTCCATAGAAGATGGGCATGCTTTTTGAGTTTCTAATTTGTACATTTCAACATTCTTTTCAGAGTCCTTTATGTTTATTGATGAACTACTTCCCTTGCTCTACAAGTCTTTTGTAGTCAAGAAACAGTAATACTGGACAATTTTTTTAAAAGTTGAGTTTACTCTTTAGTTACTTATTTCTGTTGTTCATGATTTCCATAATTAATGTTAGCACTGTCGAAGTTTCTCAACCAAGATGTTGCTAGGTAGGCAAGATGGAAATAACTGTGAAGAGATGAGTCTCTGAAGAGATGAATCAACTACCATTGATTATATGTCAAGTTATGTAAGATACCAACAGCTACAAATTAGTCTTTAAAGAATGGGTACATTTTCCCAGCATGGGTATCTCCCCTTGGTAGCCTTTTCTAAACTTCTTTGGGGAGTGGAATGTGATGTGCAGGATATAATTCCTATTTATGCAGGCTCTGAATGCCTTATAATGATTTTTTTTTCTATTTGCCTGCCTTTCTCTCAGATTATCTATCTATCTATCTCTATCTCTATCTCCCCCTCCCCCCAAAGCCTTATGCATAGGAGGCAAGGCAAGCACTGGACCAACTGAGCTATATCCCCAGTCCTTTCTATTTGCCGTTCTACTTGAATGTCCAGTGGACATATTTTTACTAGTAGATGCTAATCTATACTCTGTCATCTAAAGTCTCTAACCTCAAGATGGTTAAAAACAGTTTGCTCTTTGCTTTGTCAAATCTTTACTTTTAAACAGGTCTGTATATAGGACATAGCTACATAGTTAAAAGTCAGCAGTTAAATGTGTGTTATATATTTCTCTGCAAGCTGCTGGTAGTGACCAGAGCAGGTATGTTAAAAGTTACCATTAGGATGATGTTGTTTTCCACTTGATGTGACAACAGTCCAGAATATTGCTTCAAAAATTAAGATATACTTTTTATTACTTTGGTTGGACAGTTTTATATTTAAGAGTTTATCTCGTTTACATCATTTGTTTTATCAGTTGTTTTAAAGGAGTGAAATCGTATTTAGAAAAGTGATTTTTTTTAAAGTCACATCAGTGGCCTTATTAATTTTAACATGAAGGTCTGGAATATATCTGAGCAACATGTAGCATGAACACTGATGAGAGGAACTAAAAAGGTCTGAGATAATATTTTGATACATAGCATTCTTGGGGTTTTCCAATTTTCATTTTCCTTCTTAAACTACTATGTGCAAAAAGTAGTATATAGAAAGATATTGATTATTTAAGGTAGCTCACATAATCTTTTAAAACTTGAAGCAGAGGGCACCACCTTCTGCTATACTGTAGAATAGATGAAAATGTACTTTAGAGACATTCTGTGCATACTACGGAATTCTTGTTTTTGTGTTTGTCTTGAACAGCTCTAACTTCACTTTATTTTAGTATCCCTTATTATAATGTTGGCCCAATACACTGATCCTTAACCAGTTCAAAATTAAAAATTGTCATAGATCTCAACTCTTAAAGGCAAATTCCAATTCTAAGAATATGTGTAGGTGCTAGTGGACCAAAGAATATTTATAGTGTTTCCTGCATAATTTAGCTTCGAAGAAGAGAAAGATTTAATGAATCATTTAGAGGATTAACTCACCATCCATTCATTCATTGATCTTTTATTGATCCTTTTCCTCATCCCAGACAGTCAAAGGTGCTGACCAGGGAGTCAGAAACCAATAAGATGTGGCAGTGTGTGTGATGGTGGCAAGTTCAGTGCATTGCTGCTGTACTGATAGCACACAGAAGAATCAAAAGACCAGACCCCAACCTAGAAATTCTAGTTTGTTAGGTCTTCAGTGGGGTCTGAGAAGTTGCTCCCTGTGATGTTACTATGAAGTTCACATGGAGTATCTCTGAGCTGAAGAGTTTTTAGAGGAGGGATTTTGTAGGTACAAATCAGTAGTGATAAGGTGCAGGATAAGAATGCTTGTGTCTGTATACACATGATTGAGAAAGGGCAAGGAGGAAGAAGAAATGATGCGTGAGCTGGGCTTTGAAGGCTATCTTAGAAGTAGCTAGGTTAAGGTTGGTGATTCAAATTGTCATTGGAAAGGGGAGGAAATTCCAGGAGTGAAATAATCAGGGGAGAGAAAATGGTAGACAGCTAAATGTGGCTTGGTAAAATGTCCATGTGGAAGAAAGAAACCACCTATTGTGGCGGATTTGGAATAGGATAATGAACTGGCAAGAGTAGGAAGCAAGCACTTTTTGTATCAGACTTGACTCTTCAACATAAAGCAGTGACATTGAAGAGATTTGAGTTAGAGTAGACAACAGCTTTGTGTTTTAGAAACTGGTCTGCTCAGGAAGATTAGAATGGATCAGACCGGAGGCAGGGGAACAATTGGGGCTCTGAGTAAAGTAAATGAAGACTAAAGTAGGGTGGGGAATGGAGAGAAGGAAGAAGCTGAGGAGCAGAGGAGATCCCCCAGCCTCCAGTAGAAAAGTGACTGATTGAAGTTGGCATGGAACCTCTTGTCTCGCATTTATTCTTATGGAGCAGGAAGAAAAAAACTCTCTCTCTCTCTCTCTCTCTCTTGATATTTTTTCTAGTAGATGTTTTATTTTTTAGGTGATGCTGAGGAGCCAACCCAGTTCCTCGCCTGTGCCAGGCAAGTGCTCTACCATCTGAGCAACAACCCCAGCCCAGATAAACATTTTTCCTATACCATCCTCTCTAGGTAGTTGATTTATAGATAACTCCTCTTGATTCGGTACTTACATTCCTTTTTATTTATTTTTTATTTTTATTTTTTGTATTAGGGAATGAATCTAAGAGTACTCTACCACTGAGCTAAACTTCCAGCCTTTTTTATGTTTTATCATGAGATAGGGTCTAACTAAGTTGCTTAGGGCCTCACTAAATTGCTAAGGCTATTCTTGAATTTGTGATCTTCCTACTTCAGCCTTCCAAGTCACTGGGATTATAAATGTGTGCCACTGTGCCCAACTGTCTTTATGTTCTTGTAGGTAAGAGGTAAAAAGATAATGGACATTGTGTAGCAGTTAACTCAGAACTTGGAGCAGGTCTAACACCTGGTTTGAAGCTTGGCTCCATCTGCATGGAAATTTTAGGGCAAGTTACTCAACTTCTGAGCCTCCGATCCCCCCAGAATGAAGGCCATGATAATAATGCCTTCCTCAGGGGGTTATTATGATAACTACTTAAATCAGTATTTCTATAGCAGTGTCTGGCAAGCCAAGTGCCATGAAGTGTTACAAGTGGAACAAAATATAAAAGGCCACAAACTAAATTCATGAGCTTTCCTTATATACACATTATGTGAACCAGTTTGCTTTTCCTTTATACACCCTTTAACAAATCATCAATGCAGACAATTAAAAAGTAATTTTGTTGCTGTTCTTTTAAATCACTATGGTCAATAGCTTCAGAGTATATGAAGCTACAAAGGATTTGTATTATTGAGGAATTCTCATACTTTAACCAAATTTCTAATAAGTATTTCAATTTTGTCATGTTAATGAGATACAGAAATGATTTATTCTGATGCAGATGGATTCTAGCGCATCAGACGCCTTCTCTGCTAGGGAATTGTCTAGGATTCCTCAGAAAATTTGTCTGCAAAAGCTGAACGCATGTATGCGTAACGAGTTTTTGAGACATTTTCCAAGAGGTATGCTTTTTGCAAGTTAAAAAAAAAAATTCCCCTTTACTAGTTCTAGTGTTAAAATAACCCCTTTTTCCAAATATTTTGGTATTAAAATCAGTTTTAGCATTTGAAATTATTTATCATGTGTCAAAAGCAGGTTTGACCTTTATTATGAGTGAAGTGAATATTACAGGGAATATTTGAGTGGTTAATTGATTTTACTCAGGTAAACACAGGTGTGCCAGAAGCCTCCCAGTTCTT